TGTTTGTTTGCCTTTGCTTTATATGACATATGAAGTCTTAAAGGGCCTTTATCAAATATAATTGCTATCAATTCAGTAGATAACATTATGAAGATTCAAGAAATTGTTTAATACCTGGATAAACCTAGAAAATCTCCAGATCGAACCAAACTACCTCAGGAATCCACAACATGTGCACAAGTAGTAAAGCACAAACAATACAGAAAAAGGAATAAACATATCTTTGTGTGATGATCAAATGTTGGTAATTATTTGTGATGATCAAATGTTGGTAATTATTTGTGATGATCAAATGATGGTAATTATTCTCCCCAAACAACATCATCTTCACACCCAACTCTTGTAAAACCAATGGTGTGTTTGTGTGTCGAGCAGATCCAAATTTAAAAAAAGTCACCTTTTATCTCATCACTAGCCTTCTGCATCCAATTCTAATAATAACCTGTGTCGCAGTAAGATTTCACATTAAGAGTTTAAAATCATAGAATCATACAGCACAGAAAGAGGCTATTCGACCCATCGCGTCTGCGCCAGCTCCTAAAAGAGCAATCCAACTCAATCCCACTGGCCCGCTTTCTCTCCATAGCCCTGCAATCCTGTCCTCCCCAAATATCCATCTACTTCTCTCTTAAAAGTTGTTATTGAATCGTCTTCCACTACCCTTTCAGGTAATGCAGTCCAGATCCGAACAACTTGCTGAGCGAAAAAAAATTCCCTAACCATCCCTCCGTTTCTCTTAACAACTATCTTAAATTGGCATCCTCGGGTTACTGCTTCACATGCCAGTGGAAACAGTTTTTCCCGGTTCAACCTATCAATTCCTCTCATGATCTTGAAAACCTCTATTAAATCCCCTCTTAATCGTCTCTGCTCTAGGGAGAATAATCCTAGTTTCGCTAACCTCTCCTCATAACTAAGGTCCTTCATTCCTGGTACCATCCTGGTAAACCTCCTTTGCACCCTCTCCAATGCCCTAACACCTTTCCTAAAGTGCGGTGCCCAGAACTAAACGCAGTACTCCAACTGAGGCCTAGCCAGCATTTTATAAATATTCAACATAACCTCCTGACTTTTGAATTCTATGCCCCTATTTATAAAACCTAGTATCCCGTATGCTTTTTTAACATGCTTTTTTAAAATGTCTTAGCTTTGTTTGAAAAATGGTTTTAGGTGCCTATTCTTATAGGTAACACATGAAAAAATGGCACCGAAACAAATAGGTGACCAAAGTAACTCTAATGTTTGACATATTTCCAGGATTGTTAGGATTATAGAATCCATTTGATCAGGGTAGAATAATCTGTACTGTATAACAGACACTTAGGCTTGATTTACCCTGACGTTTTCAATAAAATATAGAGGTCTAATTTGCAGTATTTCTTAATGGGATTCCTTAATAAGGAATCCAAGTAGCACAAATGGATACTCCTTCCGGTAAATGGAAGTACGTTGTGCCGACCCATGGGAACTCTGTATTGATATCCATCTATTTCTGGAGCAGAGTTCCTATGAGCCAACGGAAATTCTAACAGGAAACCTACTATTATTAAGGAAACCCATTAAGAAATACCGCAAATTAGACCCCATAGAGTTTCATTTTCTGTGAACTTTTACCTGTGGTTTGTGAACCCCCCACAGGAGGCTAATCAATAAGCAAAAGTCTATGAATATTACCATGAATATTATATGCTGTTGGAAAGAGATGCTTCAATAAGGCTGAGGGATATTTTTGCATACCGCACGCCCTTAATATGTATGTCCTAATTACCATGTGAATTTTTTTCAGAAGGTGACCCATCAATTCCAACATAGTGAAAATCAAAACAGTGAAAAGTGATCTTAATTCAGTAAAATAAGCGTTTAAGCAGATATCAGCATGACCCGCACAATGCTCAGGAATGTATTCTGGGAGTATTAAGATCTAGCTAGGTAAATACAGTTTCATAAATGTATATTTTACAGTTTTTTTTAATTCAATGCGTGAAGAGCAATTGATCACCTGAATCAGTTCAAAAAACAATCTAATTTTATGTACTATTACAATCAGTGGACAAGATTTAGCTCACTGAATGCATTAACAGCTAACTGTTATCAGCTGTACTTAGCCATTAACCTAGTGGGCCGACTTCACAAATACATGTACGAGAATAGATGAGTGGCAGTAAATTGCAGCAATGGTGCAATCTACTCCCATCATGAACCTGAACACAACCATGAGATTAAATTACTGCCTTAAATTCACTGCCTGACATCAACTCATCTCCACATTAAATGTACTAAGATTTATGCGATCACAGTATTTGGATATGAAGCATCGTTTGGCTGAATACCATTCAAATTCAACTCAGGACAATTAACTCCAAATGGAAATGCCCTCACTGGTATGTGCTCCATGTGATGGGAGTCAGGAAATCACCTGCAAAATAATGTCAACAGCAATGGATATTTTCTTCCTAAATCAGATTCTAATCTCAATCTTTATTAAGGTGAGGAATGCTAATGTTGGGTAGCAATCTCTCCTCTAAATCAGAGGATGTAGGTTCAACATCGGAGCTGGGAACTCATGTAGTCTAAGATGACACTTCAAATAATGCTGGGAGGGGTATTGATTTGTCAGAAGTGCCATCCTCAGATGAGATGTTAAACCAAGGTCCCGTCTACATGGCCAGGGGGATGTTAAAGATCCCATGGAACTATTTGAAAAGAGAAGGCAGTTTCTCCCAGTATCCTGGCCACCAATCCCCCAAACAAAAACTCACTCCATGGCTGTTTGTGGGACATTGCTGTGCATACATTGGCTGCTGCGTTCACCTAGAAAATACACACCACTTTACAGCATATCCTGCAAAACCCTTTGAGATGTCTCAACAATGTGATAAATCACTATATCAAATATAAGGATTATTATATGATCAATCAGTACAATACTTGCCCACAGAAGGTCTGTGTTAAGTTAGCGGAGTTAGTCAGGGAAAACAATTAGAGAGCTACAATTTGCCAGATTTGCCTCAGAGTCCTGGTTTAGGGAAGGTTAAGTCAGCCAGTGTGTTCCCCCCGCCGCCCTCTTTTTTTGATTGCTGTTCCAGACGGCTGGAAGGTACGCATACACAAACGCCACAAAAGGGTTGGTTTGGGCATCCTGCTGACACATTATCTGGGCTCACACATGAGGAATGGCATTTTGCAGGATGCACCAGAAGCCGTATGGCACCCAGAGAGTCATACCTCATCGTGAGTAAGTGGCTTTGAGGAGCGGAGGAAAATGAATAACAATGTAGCAAATAGTGCTGAAAGCAGATTTTAGGACGTGAAATATTCAGCGAAAAGCGAAAAAGGTTCCACAATATTCAAATTAATCTAAACACTCCAGGTCTGTCAGCCCCTACTGTAATAACATTCTCAGTCACACGTAGGCAGGATAGATAATCTGTCCACTGAGGTTTAAAATATTATCAACCAGTCCTTTACTGCCATCTACAGGTACAATCCTGGTAGGACAAGAAGAAATTTGTTTTGGGTCAGCCGGGTGTCTTGACACATGATCAAGAATTATTCTGTTTGGGTTTCTATCTTATGGGACATATTCATAGGTGTCAACCTGGCCCAGTTGGTAGCACTCTCACTTCTGAATCAGAAGGTTATGGGTTCACACCCCACATTGGGACTTTGAGTTCATAGTTTAGGTTGGCTGTGAAATCAAGCACCTCATCCATTGCAGTGCTGGAGAAGCGTTGGACTGCCAGAGATGCCATGCTTTCTTAAACCAAGGTACTATCTACTTATTCAGGAAATTAAACATCTCATGACACTGGTTTATCCCAGTATCCTAACCAACAATACCCCAGATAAAATTGGTCATTCAATTCATTGGTATTCGTTTGTGGAGTCCTGTAGCTCAGTGGTTAGAGCACTCGCCTCACAAGTGAGAGACCTGGGTTTGATTCATGGCAGGGCAAAACCTTACTCCACACACCTGAAAATAATCCCTCAAGAAAAAAAAACAATAAAATTGGTCACTTCAAACTACGACTGTTTGTGGGACACTGCTGTGCGCAATTGGCTGCCGCTTTTCGCCCACATATATACAATCAATTCACTTTACAGTATATATTGTGAAGCGCTTTGAGGTGTCTAGAAGATGTGAAAAGCGCTATATCAAATGCCACGATTATTATTATTAACACTGCTATGAGCAAATTCACTGCCGCATTCACCTTCAAAATCCAGTCACTACAAACTAATTCCTTTGAGATATATCAATGCTATATCAAATGCAAGGATTATTATTCAAAAGGCAAAATACTGCAGATGTTGAGAATCTGAAATAAAAACAGAAGTTGCTGGGAACACACAGCAGGTCAGGCAGCATCTATGGAGAGAGGGAAATGGGTTAACGTTTCAGGTCAATGGCCTTTCGTCATAACCGTTCTGACAAAAGGTTATAGACCTGAAACATTAACTCATTTTCACCTCTGCAAGGATTATTATCTTCAACTTGTGAATCTAAAACTCAGATCCCATGCAAAAGATCAAAGAAATGATACTGGTAAACCATGACAACTGAAATAAAATATTACAATGCACACATTTTCAAATACTAGCAGACACAATCAAATAAGAATAACCTATTTGCACAGATTATGTGAGGACAATGTTGTTGTCTGACGAATTAGACTGTTGCCAGTACAATGCATTTCATTGTGCACATGTAATAAATTCCAATTGGTTTAAAATCATTTCTGTTTTGGCAAATTACTACAATTGAGCCCAATTGCATTAGCAAACGATGATTTGAAGTTCGTAGCGGCGCAGGGTAAAATCTGGCCAGTCCTATCTATCAGAGGCAATGTCGCAATTCAGGTAATACAGCATAATTCCATAACATAACCAAGGAGTTAACAACAACAACGACTTGCAATTATACAGCGCCCCTCATGCAGGGCAGCTATATAAGTCCCAAAGCACTTAATATAAAGAAAAAGAAAAGCGGATCTGCTCACCAATTCCAGGAATCATTTTTGAGCTCCCAGGACCATTTTTGTTGTGCTTCACTTTGACGGGTTTTACTTGGAACACAGCTTCTTCTCCAGTTGCTAACTGTTCCTTCTTGCCTTTTCCCTTTATTAGGTGAGGTGATGTCACTGGGTATATATCACTTGTAGCTCCTGTAGAGCTGACATGTCGATCCCCCTATTAATTAAGCAAAGCCCAGTGAGACCTAAATATTTCAATACAGTCAGGTCATCCATGGATATTTACAATTCATTTTAATAAGAATATCTGTGTAACTACAGAAATTATTATAGACTTTTGCTAGAATTTATGCCAGCAGTACAAATTTCTAGTTTCTTTCAGAAGGGTTTCTGAACATCCCTTAGGTATATTAATGAAGTCAATTGGGTCTAATTTCCAATATTCCTTCATAAGGAATCCAAATCATGCGTATAGGGGCTCCTTCCAACTAAATATGACACATCAAACTATTTTGCGATACAGTTTATCTCTGGGGCAGAGTTCTTATAGGTTTATAAGAATGCTATTGGGAATATTAAGGAATCCCGTGATTTACCAGGACATTCAGAGAAGGTAAATGAACTGTCCCATTATTCACTAAAGTTACACCTTTGCTTCAATGGCAACAAAATCCATAGAGCCCAAAAGGAATTGCTTTCTTCCCTTGAGATTCCACCTAGTCTTAATTTTTAAGATGTATCTTAAAATTTAAGATTGCACAGAAAAGTGAGAAAATGCTCAATTAGGTCTTCATTTGGAATCCGTTCTTTTTAAGAACTGAAAATTCTAAATTAAGACTGAATTTAAGAATTTTCATAAACTCTGAGCTGTTTTAAAAATTAGGACAAAGTGGACATATAATAATCTTTGCATTTGATATAGCGCCTTATCATATCGTTGAGATGTCTCAAAGCGCTTCACAGAATATACTGTAAAGTGAATTGACTGTATATTTTGTGGGCGAAATGCAGCAGCCAATTGTGCACAGCAGTGTCCCACAAACAGTTGTGCACCAAATTATTATTATTTATTTATTTATTGATGGAAATATAACCCCTTGAATGCAATTCGCCAATCGACTAACAACTGGGTTCCTATTGCTAAGAATGAAAGAAATATCAGAACTTCTGCTTTTATGAAATAGTTTCAAAGAATTTGCAGATTATATAAATTGTTTTGTATTATCTGCAATGGAGCATGCAGCTTTCTTGTTTCAAACAATTGGTAACTAGATCTAAAAGAGGTCCTAAAATAATGAAAGATAAAATGAAAGCCCTCTTTTCCTCAGAGGACTTGATGATTTCTTAAGGAGTTTGTCACGAAATTTTATTTCTGGATTTTTAGATAAATCTAAATCCTTGCATTTGCCAGCAATTCTCAATGTGCACAACTTAATCCTAGCTACACTTTGAAATACATAGGAATTATCCCCATTTTGAAAGCTGGTTATTTTGCATGCTCTCACTGCCCAGAGATTTCAGGGCCCAAATACTGTGGCCATTTAAGCTATTATTATAGCTATCATTATTGAAACCAAATTGATAACAGACTGGCAATAGTCCATCTTGTTTTAGATTAACATAAACCCATTTGAGTTCCCAAGAGGTTTAATGACATAAAAATATAGGGTACTCTTAAAGCAAGCAGCCTCAGTTTATGAATAATTAAGAAGGTTTAGTACAATTAATAATTCTTGCATTTGATATAGCGCTTTTCACGTCTTCTAGACGTCCCAAAGCGCTTCACAGAATATACTGTAAAGTGAATTGACTGTATATTTGTGGGCGAACGCGGCTGCCAATTGCGTACAGCAGTGCCCCACAAACATTCATGGATTGAAAATGACCAATTTATTATTGTTTTGTTTTTTGGAGGGATTATTATTAGGTGTGTGGAGTAAGGAAACTTGCCCAAGGTTTCGCCCTGCCTGGAATTGAACTCACGTCTCTCACTTGCAAAGCGAGTGCCCTAACAACTGAGCTACAGGACTCCACGTTCACACGCTCTCCTGAATTATCCATCTTTCCCTATTTGCTCCTCTTGCCAGTCACCTTCACACTTTTAGATTGTTCATCCTGTCCTAATCATATTTCTATTTATCTCACACCAGGCTCAACTATGGAAACTGCCTGCTTGTCGGCATCCCCAACTCCTCCCTCCACAGGTTGCAGATTATCCAGAACTCTGCAGCCAGTGTCCTTTCCTGCACCGGATTCCGCGATCCCATCACCCCCATCCTCACCCAATCCATTGGCTTGCCATCACTCAGAGGATACAATTCAAGATCTTGGTCCTCCCTTCAAAGCCCTCCACGGCCTTGCTCCTTCCTACCTCTGTGACCTCCTAAACCCCTACCAACTCGTCTGCTCCCTCTGCTCAGGGGGTTCGGCCTGCTTCACGTTCCCCCGCTTTGCCTGCCCCACCAATAGCGAGCACGCCTTCAACCTCTCTGCTCCCAACCTCTGGAAATCCATCACACAGACCCTCCACCTTGCCCCCTCCCTTGCCTCCTTCAAGACCCATCTCAAGACCCTCCTCTTCGAATATGCTTTTGGTCACCCTCCTACCCCTACCCACCCCACATTCCCGAACGCCTCCTAATCCCAACCAGAAGCACGGATGTGGATCCCTGACTGTCCAGTGCCTTGGTACGTCCTCCTAACGTGAAAGGCTCTATACAAATGTAATTTGTTGTTATTACAACTGCACATCATCAGAAGATGATTAATTCACCAACAAGCAAAAAAAATCCCCATTTCTAAATGATCAGAAACAAACTAATCATCACTTGTCAATTTGTACTTTGATAAAAGTATAGTAAATCCATTAGGTAACCTTTTGGGGTCTACAAATTCCAAACTCCTTCCTCTGTTTCAAAAAGAAGAAGCTTATCCTGTACAGTCACTTTTCTCCTTTGTTCCTCTGCTGGTTTCCCACCGCCTGTTATCCAAATGGGATTACGTTGACTTTCAAGCCTAGTTTTCTAGCCAGACAAGTTTTAGTAAAAATGACATTGTTGCATCAAAACTGACCTCATCACATTTATGATGCATTTCCAATAAAGGGTCACATCCCAATAAGTCGCACAGCAACAAATGTTGTGGCACTTCATGTAAAAGGATATTTGAAAGAAGGTCTCAAACAATGGGGACATCAAACATCAAGTGTGTTTGAAGAAACAGGGAGTGACTGTCTGGGTGTAAGAGTAGAAGCCGTTGAAAGAGAATTGATGATATTAAAATAATCATCCTTGCTTTTAATACAGCAACTTTCATATCAGGAGGACATCTCAAATGCATCATAGGATTCATTAGAAAGTGTAGTGACTGTCTATTTTATAGGCAAACGTAGCAGCCAATTTACACATAGCAATGTCACACAAACAGACTCACAAATAAAGTGAATAATTAATTTTATCTGGGGAATCATCTGCCAGGAAACTGTTTTCAAATAATACAATGGGATCTTTAACATCTGCCTGTGGAGGTAGACAGGACTTTGATTTAATATCTCATCAAAATGACAGCATCTCCAACAATCCACAACGCCCCCAGCACTGTTGTAATCAAGTGTCAGCGTAGACTGTGAGTTCAAAGTCCCAACATAAAGGTTGAACCAACAATCTTCTAACTCAGAGGGGAGAATGCTACCAAGTGGGCCAGATTGACAAATCGGAGAATTAATGATGAACCGGTGCTCAAACACGATGTAAAGATTACTTGCTCTATTTAGTCTAATTGATCTAACTGGAAAGGTTCACAGGTAATCCTGCAATGCAACACCAAAGCTCAGTTTGCTTAGATTTCAATTAAAAGGATAATTAAGTAATTAAAATAGAACATTGCCTACAGAGTACTCAACAATTCTGTGTCTTAACCCTTGTGTAAAACATGGAAACTCTGATATTGCTCTTACGGCAAGTAAAATGAGTCCTGGAATCCTTATTTCTCAGAACACTTGGTATAATTATTAATATTTATCAAATCGTATGTTTCAATTGAGGGAGTCATGACATCCTTTGCTGACTGCGATTACATCCCCATCAGAAAACAGGCAAGAAATGATTACGTTTTTCGACATTACAGGAACACATTCTTTGGTGACAGTCATACTCACAACATCCTCCTTGGGAATATCATCGTTTATCAAGGACACGGAGCACAGCCTTAATAAATCATGTTCAATGGTTGTTAAAATGCACGATTAATCAATTAATGCTGCCTGTAATTCACTTTCCACATGTAATTTACACAGTGTGTTAGTGCGATATATTTGTACAGTTAGCACGTGGAATCCCATGTCCAGACTCGGAATCCCATAGTCTAAGATGATACTCCAATACAGTCCGGGGGGTGTTGCATTGTCGGAGACATCTTCCTTCGATGAGACGTTAAATTAAACTGGGCCCCATCTGCCTGTTCAGGTGGATGTTAAAGAACCCATAGCAGTATTCGAAAAGAGAAGGGAGTTTCTGTAGCCTCAACAATTAGGGTTACTAATCGGTCACTCACTCCATGGCTGTTTGTGGCACATTGCTGTGCACACAACTGTGCTGCTGTGTTTGCCTACAAATACACTATGCTTTACAGTAAATCCTGTGAAACACTTTGAGACATCCTTCTGATGTGATAAAACGCTATACCAAATGCAAGGATTATTATTATGATTATTATTATGGTTAACATTTGATTCTACTCATGAACTTCTCAAAATTAGTGACATTGACAGAGCCTGATTATATCATTAATACACTGTAATTTCACCCATCTATTAAATTCTTTACTGTCTTTTTTGCCAACCTCAATTTTTTCTGCACTGCCTCCAGGTGCCTGCACAGGGTGGGAAAGCCTGAACAGAGGAAATCTTTCCACCCTAAAGCTGCCCACTGATTGACAGAGACGATCTGAGCAACAAAGGTAGAAATTTAAACTAGCATTGTCACAATTGATTATACTATACTGGTTCTGGGAGCAGTACCTGAAACTGTTCTGAGCACTGAATAGAGTGCCCTATCCTTTTGCAAATAAGACTATTGAAAATATGTACTTGAGAAGCCTGTTACTATACACCAGTATCAGTAAAAAAAATTAAATATATCTATAGCCCATCTAGACATAGGTTATTAATGATTTACAGTTCATACCAATTGTGACGAAACTGCATCAAACTGGTTAGAA